AGCTCGCCTGAAGGTTGTAGCACGGGACCCCAGCGGACCTAGGCCAGAGCACGGGAGAGGGCGCGGCCGCCGGCGAGCTAGGTAGAGGGAGGGCGCTCAATCAGTGGCAGTGGCCGGCAGGGAGCTTGGAGAGGCACGGATCTAGAGGCGAGGAACTTCGGGAGACGCTGAATCGGCCGACGGCATGGTTGCGGAGGTCCTGCGGCGGCGCTGTGGCGGGGCGTGTGGAGCGGCGGCGGCGGCGGGGCGTGTGCCGCGGCGGGGCGTGCGGCGCTGTGGTGGCGGCGGTGGGGCGGGCGGCGCGCGTGCGTGACGAGCCGCGAGCGGGCGCTGCTTGCGTGCGGGCGGGCGTGTGGCGGAGTTGGGGGCGGGCGTGTGCGTGTTGGGGGCGGCGGGCAGCAGGTTAGGGTTAGGAGTCTTTTGCTTTTTTTTATTCATTAATGTATTTTCATTTCGTGACAACGCGCCAACACGGAAACGAAGAGCGCGAACGCCAAAATGAGAGCGCGAACCCCAAATCCTAGTGGTCGTTTCAATTTTTCTGTGCGTGTGTATGTTTTTTCTGTGTGTTTTCAAAAAAACCGACAGAATAATATCAATTTTACTGTGCGTGAACATAATTTTTCTGTGCGTATCGAGACCACCGACAGAATAATTGAAATTTTTCTGTGAGTGTGAAGTTTTTCCGTGTGTATATTTCCACGCACAGAAAAACATATCATTTTTCTGTGTGTTATTGTATTTGTCTGACGGGATTATTTGAAACGCACAGAATAATTTTAATTTTTCTGTGCGTATCGCCAAAAACGCACAGAAAAAATAATCACACACAGAAGAAAATGAGTTTCCAGTAGTGACACCCCCATGGAGCCACGACTGAAGCTCAGTAAGTCAAGTTCTGGTCCATCTGTTGATCCAACTATGTACCGCAGCATCGTCGGCTCCCTCCGCTACCTGGTGAACTCAAGGCCAGACCTCGCGTACTCGGTGGGATACATCAGCCGATTCATGGAGAAACCCACCACCGAGCACATGGTTGCAGTCAAAAGGGTGCTCAGGTACATTGCCGGCACTCTGCATTTTGGCTGTCATTACGAGAGGAAGGAGGCACAGCTCGTCGGCTACAGTGACTTGGCCGGCGACATTGATACTCGCAAGAGCACAACCGGAGTCGTCTACTTCCTCGGCGACAACGTGATAACCTGGCAATCACAGAAGCAGCGCGTTGTGGCTTTGTCCTCATGTGAGGCAGAATACATAGCTGCAGCTACTGCCTCTTGCCAGGGAGTATGTCTCGCACGCCTTCTTGCAGAGCTCAGAGGCGGGCACCATCTCACTGAAGATCGACAATCAGTCTGCCATCGCACTCAGAAGGAATCCAGTGTTCCACAACCGAAGTAAGCACATCGACGTCAGATTTCATTATATTCGTGAATGTGTCGAGGAGAACAGGGTTCAGCTTCAGTCCATTGGGACGGTGGAGCAGCTGGCGGACATCCTCACCAAAGCTCTGGGGCGTGAACGTTTCTGTGAACTACGTTCCAAGCTTGGTGTTTACAATGTACAGCAGGCACATTAGGAGTAGGAGGAGAATTGTTAGATACTCCTATGTGCTAAATATAGTTAGTTTGCATGTTTCTCTTATCCAGCAGCATGTGCGCACGGCTTGTGGACTCCGCGCGCTTAGGACGTCGTGGCCTGGGACTCGCTCTGCCACGAACTGGAGCATGCAGCAATGGCCGGCGATGCAGTGCGTGGGGATGGACGCGCACACTTCTCGCGACTGACAGGCGTGGCAGGTGTGCACGATCTGCACGATGGTGCGCAGCAGCGACGCGGCGCCGCGCTCCGTGTACTGACCTTTCGCGATGATGCGGTCGAAGAGCTCGCCGCCGGCGCAGAGCTCCATCACCAGGTGCACGTTGTGCTTGTCCTCGTAGGCGCCCCTGAGGTCCACCACGTTGCGCTGGCCGGAGAGGTGGTGCATGATCTGCACCTCCCGCCGCACGTCCTCCACGTCCTCCTTCGTCGCCAGCTTCCGCTTCGCGATCGTCTTGCACGCCAGCTTCTCACCGGTGGACCGGTGCGTGCACAGGTGCGTCACGCCGAACTGCCCGCGCCCGAGCTCCTTGCCTATGGAGTAGGTCGCGCGCACGTCCTCCATCGGCCGCCCCAGCACCGCGCCAAGGGGGCCTGCTGGCTTGCTGCTGCTCGTGCTGGCCCTGCCGCCGGACGGCGAGGCCGCCGCTTTATTATTGGTACCAGTGCCGCCACCAGGTGCCGCCGACGCCGACGAGGGTCGCTGGTGGCCGCCATTCGACGCGGCGCGGCTCGGCACCTCCGCCTTTGCGCCTGGCGCCTCGTCGTCGGCCGCCGCCCCGCTGGCGCCCTTGGAGAAGCATTGGCCAATGGCTGCGGCCTGCGGGGAACGACAACGTACGCGTGCTGCCTGCTCTGCTCCGACGACGGAGGGCAGGCAGCCACGGACATGAACGGACTTGGACGATCGATCCTAGACGAGCGATCGTCAGATGGAGGGAGGCTGCACGCAGGGGAATTTTTTTTGCTTAATTAGTTTGGAGAAGATGGTTTTGGTTGATTTTGGATTAAAAAAAAAATGCTTTTCGAGTTTGAAGGGTAGGGAGGGAATGGCGGGAATGAAACAGGGTCCTTCTGTTTCTCTTGTTTCGCGACGGACAGATATAGGCTGCTGCTTCCTGTTTCTGGCAAAACTGACCAACTGCGCTTTCAGATTATTATATTCAGAGTTTATGTAGGTGTTAGCACACACGGCCTCGAGTATTTGCAATCATCATCATATAATTAGATACTAGTCAAACACTGCTATAGATAGTAACACAAGTGGAATATATATAGTTTTTTTTTTGCCCTCAAAGTCACACGCTCTTGTGATGTCCACCGTTTGATATATCGTGATATGTGCACAACAGTGAGGGTATGTGCATTTAAGGGCGAACTTAAGCCCCCTTTGGCACGGCTCATCCAAAACGGCTTCACCGGTGAAGCCAAAGCCGGTGAAGCTAGAAAAATTGACTTTTCCCGGCTTCTAGTTCATTTTAACCCCGACTTACAAAACGGCTTCACGCTACCGTGCCTCGATTTACGCAAAATAGATGAAGCCGAAGCCGGCATAAGCCGTGCCAAAGAGGCCCTTACTTTCTCACCACAAGCATGCATCCCAGCATGCTATTCTAGTATTCTTTCTGCATGTGACGCTGCGGGTGCTTCAGCTAAGAGCCATGCAATTCCGCGGCCATGACCTGATTTGGAAGTGTTGGACGCCACTTCGGGTGAAGATCTTCTTTTGACTCTTAGTCAAGCACAACACTCTAGACAATGGATCGCCGAAGACGCCATGGACTAGAACCCCACCCGGTGTGTCATTTTGTGTGATCAAGTGGAGGAAACCTGTGACCACCTCAGTGCGGCTGTTGCGGGTGCTTCACCTAAGAACACAAAATCGAACCGGGGGAAGAAAAAAAACGAACCAAGCACTAGAGCATGCGGACGTTGGTTGTCAGAAACGAAATCGCATTCTGCAGACTGTTAGGGGCAATAAGAAATCTTTCCGGATGCCAAACAGCTCCCCTGCGCTTGTCAACCGCCGCACTGCTTGGATAAAAAAACAATTCTTTAGTTTCATCTGGGTCCCACAAAGCGATGCACACGCTGGAGAGAGCGAACTTTGCTCTTGTTCGTCTTCATCGAATCACACGGTTCGACACCGACACTGGAGTTGCCCTAATTAGAGCCATGCAACTCCGGGGCCATGACCTGATTTGGAAGTGTTGGGGACCACTTCAGGTGAAGATCTTCTTTTGACTCTTAGTCACGCGCAAGCACTCTAGCTAGACAATGGATTAGATCCCCACCTATTGTGTCACTTGTGTGATCAAGTGGAGGAAACCTGCGACCACCACTTGGTCATGTGTTCCTTAACATTTTAGGTTTGGTGGTTCATCTGTTCCAAGCTTGGCTTTCCGTGCCCCAAAGCAGACGGATGTGCTTCCCTGCTTTGGCTAGTGGTGTAAGTTACTGCACAGTTGGAAACCAGACAAGTGACACGGGCTCGACTTCTTATTTTCCTTGATCACCTAGAGCATCTGGAAGGAGAGGAACGCCATGTGCTTCAGGAAGACATCGACAATGCTCCAATCATTGCTGCAGGTGATCAAGGCCCTGATCGTTTCGCTGAAAAGCCAGGCTGAAAAGTACTGTTCAAGTGAATAGGGCCCAAGATGCTAAGCAATGGATCAGAGCTAGGAACGACCATCTAGGTAGTTTGATGATTGCCCAGTCTCCTTATAGATTGGCAATTCGATGGTTGTTCATTTCGCCGTATAGAGTGTCGTTTCAAATTTAGCAAATGGTTAACCACGCACTACGTGAAAAAAGGTTTATAGCAACGGCACGAATTTTTTGTAGGGGCGGCTGGTGATGGAGCCGCCCCTACAGTGGCGTGCTCGGGAGGCTAGAGACTAGCCGCCCCTACAAATGGAACAGCAGAGGCGGCTGGTGATACGAGCCGGCCCTACAAATGTGTCTGATTTGTAGGGGCGGCTCACTCACTAGCCGCCCCCGGTATTTCTATTTGTAGGGGCGGCTGGTGATTGAGCCGCCCCTACAAATGCCCCACGTACAGTGAATAAGTCACCCACCCAAAAATATCTGCATCCGTCTCGACTCTTCCATTCCCCTCCCTCTCTCTCTCGCCCTCGCTCGGATGGCCGCGGCTCCTCGCCCACCCACGCGGCGCGGCAGCGCCCCCCTCGCCCGCTCCTTGCCGCGTCCCTCCCCCACTTCTTCATCCACCGCCCCGGGTTTCGGCCATCGTCGGCCCCGGGCTCCGCCGGTTTGGCTATCGGTGCTGTTAGATCCACCGGGTGGAGCTCGTTTTGTGTTCTAGTTGCGTCTTCTTGCTGCCGCTGCTTGAGGCATCTCTCATCTGCGGGGAGTTCGGAGCCTTCCTTGGCCCGTGCATGGTTCTTCGCACCCGAATCTTGGTTCTGCTCTTGCTCCTCGCTGGCTGCCGAGGGTTTTGGGGAGCGTCTTGCTTCTTGGAGTTGGAGGTTTGTCAGAGCTGAATCTTGCTCACCTCGAGTAAAACCAGCCGTCTTCGGATCTTCCCTCTCTTCATCTCGCAGGGGTTCTTCGCCATTTCGGAGTTCAAATCCCACCTGGGATTTCGTCGGCTGCTTGGGTTTGCTCCGTGTCGCGTGAGTTTTGGTGAGAGGTTATTCCCACATTTAGTGGAGCTGGTTCTCATCTGCTCCTCTCCTCCTCCATTATTGTTTGTACCGAATCCTATTTCAGGGTTTCGTTTGATTTCGTTCATTTTCTCAAAATTTTTGGGCCTATTTGTTCCTGGTAAACTTTGTTGAGCACTGCTTGAAGCAGATTTGCAATTAGCTCTGCATTGGCAGCTACATTGTCGAGTATGTTACTTCTTTTATGAGCAGCTGTCTGACTGTAAAATCTGTATTTGATTTACCAGGATGCACTGTGACTTTCTAAATGGACAGCTGCATTTGGACTGAAGTGGATGTTTAATCAGGTACTTTAACTATGGCTTTCTAAATGAAAAAAATACAGCATAACATGAGGAGTCCTTGCCAGCGGTGACTAGCACTGTGTTATAAACTACAGTTCTATCCAGTGGAACATGGGCAAACCTTTTTATATGATCTATTTTCCTTGCCAAAGTTTGGATTCTGTAAGAATTATAGCTAGAATTCAACTCTATTATACTGCACATATGGATGTTTTTCTCAAAGCTATGGCCTATGTGCCAACTGCCAACTACTAACATGCCTACAGGTTGCAGTTCTTAAAACTGTGCACTAAGCAAAATTCACCATCCAAGCTCGTTAACACTTAACAATGATGATCCATGTTGAAACTTGTTCTGCTCCTTTTTATTAGAACAATTGGAGTTATGCTTATGCCTACCAGATGTTAAATATATGCCTGGCTCATAACTTCCAACATTGTGTTTTCCCAGGGAATTTTGGAAAAACCTGAAGATATAGTTGGTTATTTGAACACGAAGGGTGTCTCTGTGATATTTCTGTTCAGGAGAAACACGTTACGCAGGCTTATATCTGTGTTGGCCAACGACTACGACAAAGATGCAAAGCAGTTGAATGGAACTCACAAGTCTCATGTTCACTCAATAGAAGAGGTAATTTCGATGCGCAAACAGTTTCAAACAAGTTTACTGGCATAGCTTTGTTCTGTTGGTAAGTCGAGAGAGAGACACACACACACACACAGAGAAGCTTTGTTCTGTTGGTCCCCCATTTGAGCATAGTGCTGTCCACAGCTCATTTTACATGAGTTGTGGCTTAGTACATATATCACTTATTTTATGGCAGCTTTGTGATTTTGATTAGACACTGGTGGGTAAAAGATAAACTGCATGTAAATATGACACATGCAGGTTTGTGAAAAGCTAGTAAGCAGTAAATACTAGAGTATAGAACAAATAATAACATTAAAAGTGTAACTGGTGTTGCCCTATTTAACCACTAAGTTTGGGTGCTGTCATTGTGCAGTGAGTATATGACTTGTGTCATGGAAGCCCTCAAGCTAGAAGACACGATAAAAAATTATGAACGCCGTGATGCTAATGGATGGTGAGTTTATTGATCTTATGTTTGCAGTGTAATCTCGTTGCCTTAAAAATATTGTTTGCAAGTAGCATTTCAATCTTATAGGAATATTATTTTGTCCCATTTGATTATATTTACATGATGATACCTTTTGGGAGTTTGTTTTTTTTCCTTTTGTATCTTAGTGCTGCATCTGTCAAATAAATTATGCCAAGTGATATATGATCATCATGAGGGAAGACTTAATGTGTAAATTCATAAATTACAAAAAAAAGAGCAAATTGTGTGCTGCCTGTACTCTTAACAGTTCTACATTCTACAAAAGTTTTATACTGCAAGCAATACTGCTAACCAAGAATACTTGAATATTGGCGAATTGTCCAATTGCTATTGATGCTTGTGCTTGTCAACCTGAAGAACTTCACAGACATCAATTCTATTCTTAGTAACTGCTTGGAAAACTCTAAGCAATATGTACTGCAAACAAGTTGTGCTTATCCAGGATTCTTAGCACTATTGGTATTCTTCTTACCTTCACTGCAGTTTTTTTTGGTTTTCATAATTCCTTACAACAAGCATCTCAGTTAGGTTATATTCTTACTTTCTTGGTAAATTTATTACATGTGGTTAACATTTGATGGAGCTGACTCAAGGATAATCTGTTGCATTTCCAGAGTTCATTTGGCGCGGTATAATAAGAAAGCAGATTCAAAAAGCATTTGCTGTTATCCTTGGCTGCATGTCAGCTGCTATACTGTTGGCTGAAGCTACTTTACTTCCAAGTGGTGTTGATCTATCTCTCTTTTCTATTCTTATCACTACCGGAAACACCTAAGTTGCCAAGTGTCCCCAGCTTTGCCGTGGGCAAGATTTCGGGCACTCAGCAAACAACATGTTTGCCGAGTGTCCCGAAGACGACACTCGGCAAACACAAAACTCACGGCATAATTGTATACGCCGAGTGCCTGCACTCGGCAAACAATAGACACACGGCAACTTCATGTCCGGGTAACATCGTCGACCTCCGTTAGCATTTTGCCGAGTGTCACATGTTAACACACGGCAAACCCACATATATGCCGAGTGTCACCATACGACACTCGACAAACCTTCCTATATACCGAGGGTCACCTTGCGACACTCGGCAAACCTGCCTATATGCCGAGTGTCACCTTGCGACACTCGGCAACTCATGCTATATGCCGAGTGTCACCATCTGACACTCGGCAAACCAATTTTTTTTTTGATTTTGCCCCCCAAACTTTTTGTACTGTTGTATTACAATACCTGTTGCTCTGTGTTGAAGTTTTGTACATTTCTGAGTGATTTTACTATATTTCATCAATTTATTTTAGTTAAATGAATTTTCGGTAATTTTTTGGATTTGAACTGCAAGTGCTTTGAATATCCGAAAAAAGTGAATAAAAAATGATATTCTTGTCACTGAGTCTGAGTCTGATGTGAGACCGTATCCAGGGCCAGACCAGAAATTTCGAACATCGTGTTCGCGAAACATGACCACAAACGTGTGGCGGAAACGTCTGAAAATTCTATAAAAAGCAAACGAAGTCTGAAAATCATGAATTCATCGAGTTGTCACGATATCATATGTAGAGGCTATGGTAAAAAATTGAGAATGTTTCGGCACAGTTAACATGTACGCTGCTTACAAATCGGAGCATCTCCAGAGAAGTTTCTGAGATTTGAGAAGTATCCTGTAAGATCTAGAGACAATTTGAATTTCGATTTGGAGTTTCACTTCAAAATTTTTTCTATATGGATTAGAGAACAAAGATCGTTTCCTGTAAAATTTTGGCAATTTTTCGGATCCGTTTGACAATTTTTAATTTTTTTACCGCAATTATTGAATTTTATTTACGATAAATTGGATTTGAACAACAATTACATGAAATGTTGCCCAATAATTTATAAAAGCATCGAACATAAATTTTTAAGTGAATTTAACAAGGATTTTTGGAACTTCATCTGGGAAAAATTGAGTTTTGGAACTAAACGAAGTAAAAAAGCACATGAAAAAACGAGTACCTTTGCCGAGTGTGCGGAAGGTGGGGCACTCGGCAAAGTTTAAAAATGTTTTTTAAAAGCTGTAGTACTGAAGGTTTACAAAAAAAAAAAAAAAAAAAAAAAATGTTGCCGAGTGCCCCATCGGGCCACACTCGGCAAACAGGGCCCAAGAGCGAAAATAGGCCTGGCCGCGCCTCCCTCCTCCCTCCTCTCCCCATTCAATTCACAGCCAGAGCCCCCGGTGCCGCGCCTCCCTCCCCACCGGTGCCGGCCAGCCACGCCTCCAGCCGCCGTCGGGCCTCCGCCTCTGCCGTCGCGCCTCCACCTTCACCGCCCCCTGCCCCCGAGCCCTCCCCTGCCCCTGAGCCCTCCCCTGCCCTGAGCCCGCCCCTACCCGGGCAGTCGCCGGAGACGGGCGCCGGCCATGGCACGCCACCACTGCTCCGCCCCCGCCCACCGTAGCAGCGCCCACTCCCCCCGTCCCCGCCCCTACCCGGCGGTCGCCGGAGACGGCCGTCGGCCAGGGCACGCCACCACTGCTCCTCCCCCGCCCACCGTAGCAGCACCCGCGCCGCGCCCACTCCCCCCGTCCCCGCCCTTGCCTGGGTGCTCGTCGAAGAAGGCCGCCGGAGACGACTGCTCTCCCTCCCTCTCCCCTGACACTGACGACTGGGGGCCGCCGCAGTTGGTCCGGCCTCGTCGAGCTCTGGATCGATGTCTCCCAGTTCCTCCCCACGGCCGTTTCCTCGCCGAGCTCCGGATCGACGCCTCGCCGAGCTTCGGATCGAGCTAGGTGAGCTGACAGAGAACCCGTGCTAAGATTGTTATTACACCGCTGTGCTATATGAAGTTTTGCCCCACTGATTTTAGTTCGTGGAGCAACATGGTCTAAGAATGTTCTACTGTCTATACTCCTATGTGATGGTAATGTTGTAACAGGCTTGCTCGTCGCCTGAAATGGGCAGTGGTACCATTTTTTTCTTTAAAGAATGATAAACAGCTCTCAAGTGTATTCAGGAAAAAAGTATAGTATTGCGTTTGGAGATACCTGTATTGTGATAACGTCCTTTTGTTCTATGGCAGTGGGTCTTTTTCTATTTAAGTTTCTTGTCATAATATGCCCAAGTACAGAAAAATATTTCTTTTTCTTGGCTTAGCTTGGAAGATATATAGCATTTTAAAAACATATATTCTGCAACGAATATGTGCTTAAGATATATGCTGTAGTTTTGACAATGAATATATGCTTAAGATATATAGCCTTTATGAGATATATGGTGCAATGAATATGTGTGCTTAAGTCAGAAACATGTGCTGTTTGGTATTTATTGTCGAAAATGATCTTATTCCTCTTCATGTAAATGTTCTTTTTGGGATGGAATTCTATGAGCTGTTCCTTTAGTAGATAGCTATATCTAACTTTCTACTCTGCTATGTTTGTTCAAATATCGTGTACATGCAATTGATTCTTAATGTCTCGCTGGTGTGTGTGTATATATATATATATATATATATATATATATATATATATATATATATATATATATATATATATATATATATGTCAGAGGATGGATGACCATGAGTGGATGTACACGGGCCGCCCAAGTCAGCGTGCTTTGACTGATGAATGGATTGAGAAGACGGAGGCTTTCATAGATAGAGCATTTGCCCTAGTTCCGGGGCGTCGACCATTTGGTGTCCGTCACGATAGATGTGCAAATGACGTTGGCAACCAAAGGATGTCATGTCTACTCATCTTTGCAAGAATGGATTCACGGCAGATTATACTCGGTGGATATACCACGGTGAAGCCGATCGGATGAGAGAGGAGGTCGTGAGAGCACGCGTCGAAGATTTCGATGCTGATGCCGGGGTAGGTGACTGGCTAAATGACTTTCACGAAGCACACGTAGGTGAAGAAGGTGGGGAGGAGGAGCCAGAGGCAACCGCAAAGGCGTATTATGACATGTTGTCTTCGGCACAGAAACCCCTTTACGGCCACACAAAGGTTTCTCAACTGGATACCATTGGACGGGTAATGGCCTTAAAGGCTCGGTTTAGCATGAGTCGAGATTATTCTACGATGCTTTCGTTGGCGATTTATTGGCAGCTTGCTTCCGAGCTCACATTATGCCAAAGAGCATGTACGAAGTCGCAGAAAACTCCTTCGTGCACTCAAGATGCCATATGAGCGATATACATGCTTGTGCGAAGGGGTGCGTCCTATTTAGGAAAGAACACGAGAAAGCAAACTCTTCATCCAAAGTGTCAATCCTCTAGGTACACAGGAGGTAGAGTCAGTGATGGTCAAAAGAGGCGACTTGAGATCCCGTGAAGATCCTACGGTACCTTCCATTCTTACCGAGGATCCAACGGCTATACATGACCGAGAAAACCGTGAAACAGATGACGTGGCACAAAAATGGCACTCGATACAGTCCTGAGAAGATGGTACATCCATCTGATGGTGAAGCATGGACCCACTTTGATGGGATTCATCGTGAGAAAGCTCTTGAGGCTCGTAATGTACGTGTTGCGCTAGCAACAGATGGGTTCAATCCTTATGGACTGATGGCTGCCCCATACACTTGTTGGCTAATCTTCGTTATCCCCCTCAATCTCCCCCCCCCGGTGTCGTGTTTCGATGACATAATATATTCTTATCATTGATAATTCCTGGACACCCGGGGAGTAAGATGGGTGTGTTCATGGAGCCTCTGATTGATGAGCTGGTCCGTGCTTGGGAGGAAGGGGTGTTGACATATGACCGAGCTACGAAGAGGAACTTCAGAATGCATGTCTAGTACCACTACTCCCTACACGACTTCTTGGCGTATGGGATATTCTGCGCCTGGTGTGTTCACGGGAGGTTTCCATGCCCATTATGCAAGACAGCTGTGGAGTTCATTTGGTTGAAG